TTCAGCCTTGCCCTGTACCTTCTTCATGCCTGCACACAGCCCTGGCTCTCCCATAATATTTCCATCGCAACCCGGTGGGCTCCTAGGTGCCAGTGACTCTTCCATCCTTTCTTATGCCCTCTCAGGACCCTGGAGACTTCCCCCTGAAACGCAGCTGTGGCCTCTTGTTTGTCTCTTTCATCCCACCCTGGTAATTACCATTCTCCTATAATTTGTCCTATAATTTGATCCCTACACCAGCTTGACCGTCACTGATTTTCTTTTTCCTGCCCTTTAGGCCTCGATTCCCACAGAAACCCACTTTAGCTTGCCTTTTTCGTAGCATTTCCTGTTCTCTCTACTCCTCCCTTTACTTGCCTTTTTTTTTTCTCATTCCTTTTATCCCAGAATATTTCAGAGTTTCTATTCTAGTATTTTTCAACAAGAGGAAGTAAGAATTTCCCCTCAGATAATTTTTTTAATTGAAAACAAAAACCAAAACCCTAACTATTGAATCGTACCATGAGAGCTGAGTTTGATATGATGAAGGAGATTCACCAAAAATATTGCTAGCAGAAAGGGGTCTCCTTTTTCTGATGAGTGTAAAAGCTACTCTTCACATAATGCCAAATCTATTCACAGTTTCCAACCATGAATATTAAAAAAAACTCAATGAGAGCGACCGTCTCAAAAATCCCCATGCTGAGGACTCACAGTCCTCATTTTTTCCCTAGCCCCAGCCCACGTGATGTGTTTGAGGTGGATTGAGAAGTTCTCTTAACAGGGCTTCCTCTTCCTTTTATAGGCTGACTGTCAAAAATCATTAAGGTAAAAGAAACAAGAGAAGAGCTGCAGATTTCTAGCTGGTTGAAGAAACAACATACCATAAGTGCTAAGTCTCCTGGTTACTGAAACATAGTTTCTTTTTCTTGATTCAGTAGAGTGGAAGACTTAATCAGTTTGGCTATAATCCAAAGGGTAGGATAAGGGATAACTAACAGCTCACTAAATATTACAAACTATAGAGTCCCATAAGCTATAGAATACTATATAATATAAATGCTGAACGGGGTGGTGCATACTTTTGGCTTAACAAGAAATGTACTTCTCTCCGTCCTGGCAACAATATTTGCTTTATAGAAGAGGAAAATGAAACCTAGCAACTGATTAAGTAACTTGGCTAAAGGCATAAACCAAACAGTAGTTTCGAATTGGAATTGACAATATTCCCTTTGCTCTGAGAAAGTGCAAGGATAAAGAGAAGGGGGGAATTTGATCCCTTGAAATCACCTAATTTGTGAATTTAATGTTTTATAATTGGGCATTCACAGAGTTGAACACTTGTGTCCATGATTAAAATCTGTGTTTAACTCTTAGTTAACAGATAATTAAGACATAGAGGCTAAAGGATTGGCTTGATGCTGTTTTAGTTTTTTTTCTGCTAGATGCTGTATTTCAAGGCCACTAATAACTCTCAATCTGTGCAGATTTTCAGATAACTGGAAGTAACGTGAGTGTGGAGTAAATCAGGTGACTCTGAGATGGAGGGCAGAAGACCCTGTCCAGATGCCAGGCCCAGGAATCCCCATGCCAACCACAGAGGTGAGCAAGGTTTTCTAACTAATGGAAAGGAAATTGAGTTCCTTATGACTGAGCAGGCCCATCTAAGATCGACTGTGTCTCTTAAGTAAAGAATGGCTTATTCCTTAGCTATAACACAAATGACTGAAAAACAGACAGCCCTCTCCTTTCCCTAAGAGAGTTGATGAATGGGTGGAGTTGACTTTAACAAAGACAGTGATGAGGTGTCAGAAGAGGAAACTGTGGTTTAGAGCAGCACTATCCAATAGAAACATAATGCAAGCCAAAAATGTAATTTAAAATTTTCTAGTAGCATTGTTTAAAAAAAGCAAAAAGAAACAAGTGAAATCCGTTTTTTTAATTGAATACTAATTTAATAAAATTTAATAATTTAGTACTTATTGAAGCCAATATAACCAAATAACATCAGTTTGTTATAATTGAATATAGTATTTTATTATAGTACTTGAATAATTTTAATACTTTTATTTAATTCCAGATTTGCAAATATTATTTTAAGATGTTATCAGTATAAAGTTTTTTTAATGAGATATTTAACTTTTTTGGTATTAAGCCTTCAAAAAATTTGTGTTATTTTATACATCTTAATTCAGACTAGCCACATTTAAGATGCTTAATAGCCACACATAGTTGGTGGCTATGTACTTGATAGCATGTGTCTAAAGTCCTAGCCACCAAAGGACAGTTAGTTCTAAAAGCATTACTCTATTGCAGTGATTGTTCTGTTTGCTCGGAACTTTCTAAAACAAAACCAAATGGATTCTTGCTTTTCCCTAAGTTGGCAACGTGTCATTCGAGTTTTAGCTGTGGAACAAATGAGAAAGAACTGTACAGTTTTATGAGCTGTGCGAATATTGAAAGAAAGAGAAACAATACAATTTTCCATTCTTCCAAAACATCTAGCCTTATAATCAGACCAAAATATTAAAAGCAGGAATTTTTCTGATATCTTGGGGATTTGAAAAATAAATATGAAAGTAACAGTTATAAAAATTTAGGATTCAGTAGCACAGTGTTTGTATTTTACCAGATATTTCTTTACGTAGCCACATTAAAATCTCTACAAAGTGCAAAACAAGGAAAAACGTACATAAATGGATTTAGCATCTGATGTCATGAAGTGGAATGATCGCCTTGAATATGATGTGCATTTGAAATGCATAACATTTTTTATCATCAAATCATTGTGTACAGTCAATATTTTTTGTTTGTTTTTAAATTCTCCAAGTCATTCTGTAAAGTTGGATCAGCTCCAGAATCAGTTTTAGAGGAAAGGAAAGGGAAAAAAATTGGACTTGAATATGTTGGCCAAGTCGCATAATGAAATGTGTGGCAGTTCAAGGAAGACAAGTTTGGCTTCATTTCCTGTGTGAACTGGGTTTGTCACCTCCCTCTCCCCACACCTTCTCTTCTTAGGGTTAGTAGTAGATAAATACTATGTAAATGGACTTGTGCTGCAGAAAGGAGGAAAGTTTCAGTTTCGTTTTTCAATTTCCTAAATCAGAGTTTGAGTTTCATTTTTAAGTTTCCTTCACAGTCTTAGTTAGCTCAAAAACATCTTAGTAAAGGAAGCCCCACATTTCCCTTTGCCATCTGATACTGGGCAGAGTTTAAGAAGCATTTCTCTTTATAGTTTTATCCCACTTGATGCATCTTTTGCCTATGAAATAATTATTTAATGGCAGAACCAGTGGCTCTAGAAATTAGGGTATTCTAATAGAAAATTATTATTAGTGCTACTAGTACTAACATTTATGAGAGCTTTTTATGTGTCAGGTACTACACTATGCCAAACAGCTTATAAACATTTAATTTTTACAACCCAAATACTGCGGCTTAGAGTAATTATACAGCTTGGTGAGGAAGTGCCCATGTCAAGATTTGAACTAGGTCTGTTTGGCTCTGAAACTGATGTGCTGACTGTTGTTTGGTACTGGCAAGAAACTAGAAGCAACAAGCTGATCTTTTTGATCCTCTGAAAGAATCCCAGCCTGTGAGGATTAAACGATATACTGCAAATGTTTATTCTCTAGCATGTATGGGGCAGCCAGCAAATGTTTATTCCTTTTCCCTTTGCACCCTCTGAAAAAACAATATTTTAATAATATATATGGCAACATAACAATCTATTTTACATTTATTAAATGACTTGGTAGAAAACCTTTTTTTTCCCCTCCAAATAAAACCTAAGCTCCTTAATTGTTTTTGGAAAATGAGAGCATGTTCATTGTTGTCCTACTAGATTTCTTTGC